GCTTTTGACAATTTTTGAAAATATGCAACAAATTTCCGGGGGCGGGAATAAAAAACATGTGAAAATGCCCGGCAGTGGGGCAAAAAATCAGTAGCAAATCCCCCACCCCGGGGACAGCTGGACTGCTTTGCTAAGAAGAGCAGATTATCCAATTACCTGAAAATATAAAAGAGAATACTTTCTTCGATCGGCCAAGTATATCGCCCAAGTATTTCGCCTGCGTTGCAGGCTACCAAGCATTGTGCATCATACTCTAGTGTGTTTTCGTCATGCTCTAGCGCCTATAGTGCACATACATTTATTAGAATACCACAAAACATAACAGGGTATTTTGGGCAGGTATAAAGTAATCCAAATTCTTAATTTCAAATGCCCCGCCCCCGGGCAAAGGTTTGAGTTCATAAGCCCAACACCCGGGACGTGCTTTATAGGAAAATGCCCGGGGCTAGCCCGGGGGGGGGATGGGCACGCTTGGATTTGACTGATGCATAAGTCAGCAGCAGGTTATGCAGATCGATATAATAATCATTTATACTATGCACATGTTCATGGTTTTGTTGGCCATCTTGACATTTCATGGGGTGATAAATCAATGTAATAATTCCCATAAACAGCAAACTTGATATGAAACAATTTTACTGTGAGTCCTCAAGCAAATGGCCTTAATTAATCCTTTCCTTACATTTGTCTGAGAGCTAACCTGAATAAATCGTGATGGTTGTTCACTTAATCACTTGTTTGTTCTTGTATAGGCCATTTAGCCTTAAACAAACTCAAAAAATATACACAGAGAACACCTACCTTATTGCTTTTCTCTGCCAAATAAATAATTTAAACTTTTATTTCTCATTCTTTAGCGATTTTACTGGCAAATAAACTGAAAATCACTCAGACTAGCCATTTTTAAAACCACGTGGCTGTGTTTGTTTTGCAGCAAATTTAATAACATTGCTCTAAATCTTAAACTCGGTTACTCGGTCATAAGCATTGGAGACTGGGGAGCAAAAACGGCATACTCTGAGTGATGTTTTTAATTTCAAAATGGCGCGTGTTTATTTTTGTTCGTCGAAAAACTGAAAATACAAATGCAATTTGTGAAAAAACTGCGAGTCTACGGAGCAGCAACTTTTCGGATTTGAATTCAGCGTGTTCGAAAATGTTAGTTACCGTGAAAATATTTCAGTTCCACGACATGCTTAATGAAAGTGAACGATATCGGGTCACGGCAAACGGCCTACTATAATTGAAATAACAGATATCGGTCTGTAATTTTCCATATCGTGCTTAGCTCCTGTTTTGTGTATTGGAGCTACCCTAGCGACTTTCCAATCAGATGGGAATATACCAGTTGCGACTGATTGATTAAAAATTGATACAATTGATGGAGTAATTGCTGGAGCTTCGGTTTTCAAAATTTTTGCTGAAATTCCATCGATGCCGGATGCTTTAAGGGCAAACAATCCCGGAATATATATCATTCGAAAGTTTATCTCCCATTTCAACAAAATGCTTATTATGCATTTGAGATATTTATCGGATCAGTAATTTCAACAGAATCAATTCTTACTTCTAGAACTGTATTCTCTTTTTTAGACTTATTAATTAACTCATTAATCGTTTTCCAGGGTTTTTTAAGATCACCTTTGTTATTATGTAATTTATTTTGAAAATGACTGCGGATTGTATCTTTCACTAGTTTATTATAACGATTTCTTGCATGGCGGTAGTCGGACAAGTCAGTTATAGACTATAGTTATAGAGTTATTGCGTTTAAATATGTTCTCTCCCGCTTTTTTGAAATAAGATCATTCGCTAGCCACGGAATTTGTTTACTGGATACTTTACTTCTTTTAGGCGGGGCATGTATATTTACAATCTCTAGGAATTTGTTTTTCCAAATCGTCCAAGATTTATTAGGATCAGAATGGATGAGATTCAAATTTGATAACGATGTTAGATTACACATAAAGTCTTGTTCATTGAAGTGTTTAAAATCCCAGTATTCAATAAACCGTGGAGACTGTTTAAAAGTTTTAAATTTACGAATGCCGTAGATCAAATAGTGATCACTGATAGTGATAGCTGTCACACCACTAGAAATAATGTGGTTGGTGTTTGTTGTAGAAAAATGATCTATAAGGAATGAATTATCTTTTGTAACCCTAGTAGGCTCTTTTATCAATTGTTCGTATTGATATAGAGTAGCCATGGCAGTAGCCATGGCATCCAGTAGCCATGGCATCCAGTGCTCTTCTTCTCCAGATACCAGTAGCCATGGCATCCAGTGCTCTTCATCCCCTTCACACAAACTTTGTTCAGCTCTGGACAGTTTCAATGACAAGGAATTCAAGAAGGAGCCTTGTTCAATTCGATCTAGGCTCTGCGATGTAAATAGTAAACCATAAAAGCCCATCCACGCCCGAGCGATACCCACAAAGGCAGAAACCACCGTGCCAGCCATGTTTTTAACTGAAGTGAAGATCCTGCTTTGACCACGTTTACGTTCTAAACCGAAAAAGTACTTGGTAGAGGCTTCTCCCTCTTCTGCCCATTGAACGTTTGCGCGAATACGGGCTCCTCTCGCTTCATCTCGATGAGCAGCCTCCAGTTCACGTTTAACATCTTCAATGATTGGAAGCATCTCGTCGCCATTAAGCAGACGTCTGTTCAAATGAAATAAGGTATGCTCTAACGATGTAATGAGCTTTCGACGGCTGACAGCTTTCTTCTTAGAAAATTCACGGATATATTGTTTCAGTCGCGCCTTGCCTGCATCCCACCACGCAGTAAGCGACAAGAAAGAAGATTTATACACTTCGAAGATGACCAAAAGTCCGATACCAGTTTAACGAAGGACTCATCTGAAAGTTGCCGAGTATTCAACTTCCAAACACCATGTCCACGATGGGTGGCGGATGGAAGACAAAGCTCCAAATATACAGTGGAATGGTCGGAGCGGAAAAAGGGAAGGATATCGATACGCTTGACACAGGACAAGAGCAAGGCAGAAAGCCAAAACATGTATATTCGCAAGACTTGACGGCCGTGGGGCGATGCCAAGAGTACTCCTGAGCATTTGGATGAATTGTACGCCATGCATCGTGCAAATCATACGTGGACATTAAGTGATGCAAAGTCACTGACCAATTATACGCCGAGGGTGATTGAGAGTTACAACCAAAACGGTCTTTGATCGGATCCACCACAGTATTGAAATCGTCACACAACACCGTCGGGGTGTCGGGATCAAGCATTGATATAATGATTCAAAGAAAGTAGATGCAGGCTTTGCGGTATTTGGAGCATATATGTTCACCAACTGGATCAAATTACCATCCTTGGAAAATTCTGCGCACAAAATCCGGCCATCTTGGTCACGAGAGCAACTGACAACATCATAACTAGGATTGTATAAAATGGCAACCCCACAACTAAGAATGGTTCCCGGAGAAGAAATGCATTTGTAACCAAACTTATTACAGCCGGACGAGGTGGCATGATCCAACCAAGATGAAAACTCTTCTTCGGAAATTGAATGAGTCTCCTGTAGGCACACAAAATCAGTTTTAGCGCAATTTTCCCAGTGAAACAACGTTGCTCTGTGATCAGCTGTGCGCAGAAACCGACAATTTAGTGTGATAAATGTTAACTTGCTCATGCCGATTGTTATAAAGGTCAAAACGAGGACACAAGGTGAAATCAATTCTGACATTAAAAAGAAGGATCACCAATCCTTTTCGTTACCGGAACCGCAAAGGTTATGAGATCAATCGGAGATGGAGATTCCGAATCAAGATTTTCCTTCCTGGAAAGGTTCGGTGGAATTTGAGTTGAGGGAGTAGTCCGAGTATCATTTTCCTGAGCCGTGCTAAATTCTGATCCATTTTCGGGTATGTTAGGGTATTCGTTATCTTTGGCCATAGACGTTTCCATATTATCATTACCACCATCCTCCTCATCTCCCTCTTCATAAGCTTCGATGGAGGGCGTACCAAGGTCGATGGAGGGCGTATCTCGGAAGCAATAGACACAGAGTCATCCGCAGGAGGAGCGGAGGAAAGAGGTGAAGAATCATCCACTTTAGAAGGCCTTTGCGATTTGCGGGTACGAACATTCCTCTGCACAGATGTAGTTCTTTCAAATGGAATTGCAACACCATTTGCATCATGATCCATGGATATGGGATCAACTTCGTCACTAAGAGATGAAAACGGATTGGGGGAGGAAAAACGAGCCAAACGACTAGGAGGGAGAGGCAGAGAAGAAGGGGACAAAATCATGCTCAACTACACTCCTATCCGAAGACGGATTTCGATCGACTCGCTTTTCCGGGATATCGAAAACATCCGAGTCATCAGGTTCCCTAGTGCGATTCCCAAGAACTATAGAAACTGGCTGCTGGCCACCTTCACCTTCTGGTAATGGCAGTTCCTCTAGGACATCAACAAACTCATCTTCATCATCCGAGTTGTCAGAATCTTTACAAGAAGATGGCTGAACCACGGGAGAAAAAACTGCTGCAGAGGACGGGGGTAACGTAGATGTGACACCACCTTCATTGATGTTACGAACATTTTTATCAATCAATCAATCAATCAATAGCTGTAATGGAAGGATGAGGACCATCTGTTAATTGCGGAAAACCCGTGTGGCTCTCATCAGTGGTATGCCTAACCGGATTACCCGTGCCATGGGCACCAATGCGTTCGTCAGGTACTGTACTGGTCGACGCTCGATTTACTGTCGTCAATGGACCATCTGCATTGATGATATTGCCTGTAGTACGCGCGTGATTAGGGCAATCTTTAGTCATATGACCTGTCTGGTGACACCAGAAGCACGTTTGAACCTGACCAACATAAAAACAATTACGTGGGAATGAGCTGCAATAGTCAACCGCGAAGGAATGGGTTTAGACAGTTCCATTAAGACCTGACGGACCCCAACATAAACGCCATGAAAGGAGTCCATTTTAATCTGAATGAATTTGTCGTATGGTTTCAAAGCATCAGCAATCGCTTCATTGGGAATCCCATAACTCAGGCGCGCGTAATGTTTACCCATTTGGCCGTCCTGACCGGGTTGAACGTTGACGAGCATCTCGAAACGTAAGCCCGAGATGACACACTTCTTCCATATTCAATGCGGTGCGACAAGTAATACGAACTTTGCGAGGCGATAATAAGACAATAACTTAATTAACTTGGCGATGGAAGTCTTCCATTATGTTTTTGACATTAGGAAGCTCTACATCCACCGTTCGATTTGATCGATTTGAAAAAGGAATCTTCATGCTTATAACAACTTTAACACAAAGCACGAAATTCTATCAAATA